CACACCCCAGCACCCCCTCATACATCCCAACACGCCCCTCTCAGCAGCAGCGATTCTGGGCTAGGAGACCGCAAACCCGGGGCACAGACAGGTGTCCCGCTGGCCCAAACTTTCCGCGCCTGCCATCGCTTCGCAGCCCCGGCTCCGCTGCATTCACAGCGCCCGCCGCGCCTTTGCCTGAACTCCTCTTGTTCTAAGCCGGAGAGAGACCGAGCCGGGCCGGGAACTGCCCGGGGACCGGGCGAACTTTACCAGCTCTGAGCTCCCTGGCCGGGCGGGGTGGCCAGCGCCGTCCCGGGGCGGAGGCGCTGCGGCTGGGGCCGGGCTCCGATCCCCCTCGCTCTGCCTTGCCCGCCGGCTCTCTGCCGCGCGGCTGGAGCTGCGGCTCTTTGCTGAGCCGCTTGCAGCCTCTACCTACCCCCCGGGGGTGGGGGATTCCCAGCTGCCGTCTCGGGCAGGGTCCTAGCGTCCCCTCCCCACAGAGCCGGAGGGGAAAGCCCCGAGCCCAGGGAAACAGGGCGCTAGTGACTAGTCCTCCCCCCATAGGGTGACCAGATAGCAACTGTGGGATAAAAGGGACGGGGTGGGGGTAATAGGCGCCTATATAAGAAAAAGTCCCAAAAAACGGGACTGTCCCTTTAAAAAAGGGACATCTGGTCACCCTATCCCCCCACCTCCCCCAAGCAGGGTGACCAGACAGCAAATGTGAAAAATCAAGACAGGAGGTGGGGGGTAATAGGACCCTATATAAGAAAAAGACCAAAAAATCGGGACTGTCCATATACAATTGGGACATCTGGTAATCTTAGCATGGGGCCTGTTGCCCTCTGCCTCCTCTCATGTTCAATTCCCCGCCCCTCTTCTTCAGCCCACCACATTCCCCCACTTCCGCCTTTGGAAGCACTTGCATGAGTGCTTGTCCCCCAGCGACCCAGTCCTGACTCCTGGGGGTCTGTGCAACCAGAGCCTAGCTTGCGTGGGGATGAGCCCACCTCTGCGGTTCACTCACACTCCTCGGGACTTTTCCTCTCCCTTGGGGATCCGGGTTGCACCAGCCTGTGTGTCACTCAGAGCCAATTCGATTTCAACAGTCCACGTTTTCAAATGCCACTCTGCCCTACATTTCAGTCCCCATCAGGTTTTGATTGAGACCCATAGATACAGGGACTGAAACCTCCCCTTGAAGCTTCAGCTCATGACCCTCATGATAATTCTTCTGAGCTTTCCCTGGTGGTCACATCAGTTATCAACTCTTCTCTGTATGAAGAGGAAGACACACAAACCCTGAGCATGTACAGTCAGGGCTGCATAAAGTGGTGTAACACTTTCCATAATAAAGGATATACCTACAAGTCCATAAAAGGTTGTTATAAGGAGGAGGGAGAAAAATTGTTCTCCTTAACCTCTGAGGATAGGACAGGAAGCAATGGGCTTAAATTGCAGCAAGGGAGGTTTAGGTTGTACATTAGGAAAAGCTTCCTAACTGTCAGAGTGGTTAAGCACTGGAATAAATTGCCTAGGGTGACTGTGGAATCTCTGTCATATGAGATTTTTAAGAGCAGGTTGGACAAACACCTGTCAGGGATGGTCTAGATAATACTTAGTTCTGCCTTGGGTGCAGGGGACTGGATTAGATGATCTCTCGAGGTCCCTTCCAGTCCTACGATTCTATGATTCTTACTACTTTTGTTGTTGTTGTTGTTGCAAAACTCTCATGTCACCATCATTTGCAGCAGGCCTTTGATATGCAGCAAGGGGAATCCTTTCAAGCTACAGATTTTTATGTTTATTTTTTTGTCTCAAAATTCCATTCAGTTTGACTCTAACATTAAGATACTGAAAAATCACCATTTCTCTTCTCCCACTTGCTTTTCTTATGGAAATGTTGGGAGCCTGCCAAAATCACTGACCATTCCAAGGCTGGGCTCACATCACTGTCAAAGCAGCAGCAACAGTAGGCACTGCATTGGGAACACCAGGGAACTGCCAGTGCAGCTGTAAAGGGAGTGAAAAGGGCAGGCTCACCTTCCCCTGTAAACCTGCACATAACAGAATTTGATTTTCCCCTTAAAAAAACCCTAAGAAATTATACACAAAAAGTACATCGAAAGAATGTTGTTTAATTGCAAAGCCAAGTATTCGAAAGTTAGGGAATGCCAGATTTATGGTTGCCCATGCAAACTTAATCCTGCCCCTTTGTGTGTATGCATTATAACTATTTAAGTACATAATAAAATACTATTTTTCCACAAGACCCTCACCTCAGTCAGTGCATAGAACAGACACACAAGGTTGGGGGATGCAGACAACCACACATCTAGTACTTCCTAACTTTTGAGTTCTTGACTTTACAACCTACACAACATTCTCTTAACACATTTTGTTATGTTTTATATTTAGATAATAAACACACACATTATATAGATATTATAAATTGCTTTGCAATGTTTGTAAAATACTTTTCAAGTTAGTGAAATGTTAGTCATAATAATTATCATCATCATTATTGCTGCCCTCTGGTATATGAGCAAGAACGTAGCATATTCATTATAGATTTACAGCATTCCTGGTTACTTGTTGCTTGGCACCATTAGCAGGGCTGCAGTGCATTGTTCCTCCCTGAATGCAGCACTGTTGCTCCACTTTCTTCTCTCTTGGCCCTGCTCCAGCCATAATAAACATTCTCTTCTTATTACTTCTCATTGTGTCAACCACCCACCCTTATTTTCTACAGAAATAATAGCTGACATCATCATCAGCTCCCACAGCAGGATACTGTCCAGATCTGGGATTTATGATGTCAGGAACCCATGTCTTCACACCTGATTATTGCTTAATAGCACATGTCATTACTTAATTATTTTCTAATTGTTGGATGATTTAATTCTACCTCTCACCATTCAGCATTTTCTCAGTGGCATTTTTCATCCAATGCTGCCAGAGTCAGCAAACTCCTCATTCACTTTGTGTCAATATAATAACTTTCAGCTTCCCACCCGAAGAACCTCTTAATATAAGAGCCACAGATTTGCAGGCACTGAATGTGGACACACACTTCTTGCTTTTCTCCATCATGACCTCCACCCTATCCCTTACCTTATGCTGACTAAGGTTTCCAGTGAACTTCTTGATCACCATTTATTACATAATCCTTTCCCACTGAGTGCTTGACACTGTTGGAGAGGGCAGTCTGCTGAATTCAACCCCGTATTTGGCACTGCACTAACCTTAAGTGGTGCAGTCCATCAATTAGCCCTCATCTACAATGGGAACATGTCTCAATTTCAGCCATTAGTAGCCAGCCACTAGAAAGCCAGCACAGGTGCAAACCCCTAATGTAAACAAGGAAAGCTGCAATTTGCCCAGTGGAACTTACCCCTGCTTGAAATGAGGGGGTAGGAATCAGTGGCTAGCTGCTGATGGCTGGAATCAGACAAATTCCCAATGTAGACAAGGCCTTAGTGTTGCCTTATGATTTTTCTCCATAAGCTACTTACAAGTGAAATCCATTAATTGGATTCTCTCTGGTCTGCTAAGTGGGGTTCCTTGGAGTGGGTGTGTGTTTGTGTGTGTGTGTGTGTGTTCATTTAGCTCATGGTGTTCAAGGGCTGACACAAGTCATTATTCTAAACAGAGTGACTGTAATGCCAATCTGGTTGCTGCTGTTCATCAATACACTGCTCTATCTTAACAATAACAGAGGGTCCACTCTGGATGTTATTAGCTGACACCACATTGCTGTGCAGTGGTGTAATTTTGCCCTCCTGATCTTTTGTTTGGTAATTAAAATGTCCTCCTTCAAAACAGAAATCAATTGTGGTAAAAACGGTCACATAATTTTGAGGCAGATGCAGGAAAAAGGTACATCAAAATAATAGGTTCAGTAGTTACTGTGCACTGTACATTACAATAATCTCCATCCAAGAGTATTAAAGGAACTGACACAAGAAATTGCAAGCTGAATAGCAAGAATTTTTAATGAATCTGTAAACTGGGGGAATAATATCCTATGCCCGGAGAATTGCTAATATAGATCCTATTTGTAAGAAAGAGGGAAAAAGTGATCTAGGAAACTGCAGGCCTGGTAGTGTAACCTCAATTGTATGTAAGATCTTGGACAAATTTTGAAAGAGAAAGTCGTGAAGGACATAGAGGTAAATGGTATTTCAGATAAAATACAGCATGGTTTTACAAAAAGTGGAGATCATGCCAGACCAACCTGATCTCCTTTTTTGAGAAGATAACTGATTTTTGAGACAAAGGAAATGGAGTAGATCTACCTGGATTTCAGTAAGGCATTTGATACAGTTCCACATGGAAAATTATTAGTTAAACTAGAGAGGTTGGGAATTAATATGAGAATTGAAAGGTGGGTAAGGAACTGGTTAAAGGGGAGACTATAATGGGTCATACTGAAAGGTGAACTGTCAGGCTGGAGGGAGGTTACTAGTGGAGTTCCTTAGGGATCGGTCTTGTGGCCAATCTTACTTAACATTTTTATTAATGACCTTGGCATAAAAAGTGGGAGTGTGCTAATAAAATTTGCGGATGACACAAAGTTGGAAGGTATTGCCAATATGGAGGAGGACCAGAATATCATACAAGATGATCTGGACAACCTTGAAAACTGGAGTAATAGAAATGGGATGAAATTTAATAGTGCAAAGTGCAAGGTCATGCACTTAGGGACTAACAACAAGAATTTTTGCTATGGGTTCGGGACTTATCAGTTGGAAGCAACAGAGAAGGAGAAAGACCTGGTTGTATTTGTTGATCACAGGATAAGTATGAGCTGCAAATATGATGCAGCCATGAAAAAGGCTAATGCAGTCCTAGGATGCATCAGGTGAGGTATTTCCAGTAGAGACATGGGAGTGTTAATAGTATCATTATACAAGGCATTGATGAGACCTCATCTGGAATACTGTGTGCAATTCTGGTCTCCCATGTTTAAGAAAGACAAATACAAACTGGAACAAGTGCGGAAAAGGGCTACTAAGATGATCAGAGGAATGGGAAACCTACCTTGTGAGATGAGACTCAAAGAGCTTGGCTTGTTTAGCCTAACCAAATGAAGGCTGAGGGGAGATATGATTTCTCTCTATAAATATATCAGAGGGATAAAT